CGCAGATAGCCCTCGTGTAGCTTTGCGCGAAATTAAAAAAACTAAACAAACTAAAGTGAAACCAAGTGTTTGGATGATGTGTAAAAGCATCGTCTGCATATTTTTAATTTCATGTTTAAGTTTTAAGTCATATCGTAACATTGCTTCTGTGCTTGTGTAGGAAAGCACATTATGCTAATACTGTAGTAAATTAACAAACAGCGATTTGTAATCACAATGATATTTAATGTACACGACATATCACATGTGTCGACGATACCTACATCAGTACATGTTTGAGAAGTAGTATGTTAATTTACAAGTATTGCTTCTGTGACTGGCAACGATCGTGATATTGTGCTTCCCAATAAGTATTTCGTAGGATTAGTTACCATCTTTCTTGTCTAGCATAAATCTTCCGGTTTATAGAGGTTCACTAACTCATGGAATTTCTGTACTTTAGCGTACCCGTGACATCACTAGGAAGGGTGTTTGTTTCTTCACGGAAGATTTAGAACTTCGAAAGTACTGCTATTGGCGGAAGTTCATAGAAACGCAGCACCCCCTAGCCGAAAAACCGGTTTGCGTGAGTACATTTGTAGTGAAGTGTGTCGCAGCTCAACTAACTCTAGGTAACACAAGTACCACAGGTATCAAAGGGAGAGGCAGCAATCTACAAAGTTACTAATAAATCGTATTATTTGAAAGAACAACAAAACTTCGAGATTTGAGAAATTGAAAGCAAAATCTCAGCAATATGGCAGAAGAACTAAATGCTCAGTCCCAGACACAACAAAAAGAGTCCCGTGACAATATACACTCGGTTACGGCCACTGGGAAGTCCGAGTCAACAACAGTAGGACTAGGAGACGGGATCAAGCTAAACCCATGGTATTTCAAATCAGTTCCAGGGATCATGAAACTTGTCCAAGTGGTAAGTAACATCTGAAGCTATCATATCACACAGTTCGGTTGAACTACGGTACGTTTCCTAGATTGTTGTACATATTGTATTTAATAGAATTTTTTTAAGTGATCAGAGTATGAATT